GATACTTTATAACAGGGGTTGATAAACTACCCCATTGGGCCAGTGCAGCCTGCCACCAACTCTTGTAGGTAAAGTCTTGATAAAGCACAACCATGCCCATTTGTTTACTATTGCCCATGGCCGCTTTTGTACAGCAGCAGCAAAACTAGTCATCAGAGACCATATGGCCCACAAAGCCTAAAATACTTACTGTCTAGCTCTTTATTTTTTTAAAAAAACTCACCAACCCCGATCCATGATGTAACTTTGAACTTGATAAATGAATGTGTAAAAGGGGATTTTAGTGAATTATTGTATACTATTTCTACTGCATGCATCTTCATCTTCCTTCTGAATGGTCATGACCCCAAATCTCCTTCCTGGATATAAAGTGACGTGGTAGAAAGATTCCTTTTGATTTTGTGGCTTTTTGACTATAGTTTCCTGAAGAGACAATACAACGCTCATTGCATTTCAGGGGTCTCCCCCCCAGAACTCACCTGTGGAGTGCATTTATTGGAATGGCAAATCTTCCTTTAATTAGAATGGATGTGAATACTGAAAACCACATATATAGACTCAAATGTGAAGAAGAACAATTTTCAAGTGTGCTTCAGGCTTCCAGGCCCCAAAGGAGCCCCGTGAGTTCCCCTGCTCCTGCCTGGCTTGTTCCTCTGTCAGCTGAACCAGTGTCCCCCATCAATTCTCAAACTTACGTGTCTCTATCCCCTGCCAGCCCATAAAACAAACAAGCCACTGGGTGCGGCTCACACCTGTAATCTCAGCACTTTGGGAGGCTGAGGCAGGTGGACCACGAGGTCAGGAGTTCAAGACCAGCCTGGCCAATATGGTGAAACCCTGTCTCTACTAAAAATACAAAAATTAGCTGGGTGTGGTGGCATGTGCCTGTAATCCTAGCTACTCAGGAGGCTGAGGCTGAAGAATCACTTGAACCCAGGAGGCGAAGGTTGCAGTGTACCGAGACTGCACCACTGCACTTCAGCTTGGGCTACAGAAGGAGACTCCATCTCACAAAAACAATAACAACAAAAAAGCCAGCCACACCCTCCCAAAGGCACCAGAGGCCACCACATCCCTTGTTCCTATAAAGCCTGCCTCTGTGCCCCTTTGCTTCACTCTCTTCCTGAGTGCACCCCTCGTATGGTCCTGCCTGGTGTGTGGTGTCCTCTTTCCCAGGCCATGAGTATATGTCACTCACAAACTGCTGTTGATGACATCTGTCTAGTGCAAGTGTCATGTGTTCAGCTACCTTGTGCTACTTAGGGTGGGGCATTCTTCCTTCACCAGCATGGTGAACGGTGATGACAGAACGGGGTGCAGCTGGGAGCCACCAGCAGCCAGGTGGTGGGTAAATCATTTCTAAGAAAGGCTCTTGGAAAAACACTATAGTATTCACTAAAGTTAATCCCTTCCACTGCACACATCAACTTGCTATTGACATGAAGTTTGTTTCACTTGAGAAAGCACTGGATCACTGAGCACCAAGTAGATTCTTCCCTCTGCTGTGTTGTGTGGCAGCAGGCCGGCCTCCTACTGATAATGAGAGTCATTTCCCTGCAGGTTGTGTGTGACAGTAGGCCAACCTCCCACTGATAATCAGAGTCATTTCCCTGCAGGTTGTGAGTTTTTCTCTTCTGGATGGTTTCTTGGCACCAGAGCTAAAAGTGATCAGGCAGCAGCCGTAGCTGAAAGTTCAGTGAGACTCTTAGGCCCACTTATGGAAGCAATTTCCTTCTGGAAGCCGCAGCCTTTTAACATGTAGGGCTTGAAATTGCAGGGGCCAGAGCACACATTTCACGTGAGTCAAAGAGAGTCATGAAGAAGGTGGTGCCATCTCTATTTTCCATCCCTTACACCAAGTGAAGGCACGGCAGTGTTACATAACTATTACTGATTTAAGGTGTATACTGTGCCCTGGAAAATAGTACCCATGGTAAACTAAAAATGGCTGAAGACTTTTTCCTACTGGTCCCACTGAGATGTCATTGAAAGGGAGAGTCTATTTTCCCTCTTCCTGAATCTGGGCCAGGTCTGTGACTCCCGCTGTTAATAGTGTGCTGCAGAAGTGGTACCCCTTGAGGCCGGGCACAGTGGCTCATGCCTGTAATTCTAGCATTTTGGGAGGCCAAGACAGGTGAATCTCTTGAGTCCAGGAGTTCAAGACCAGTCTGGGCAACATGGTAAAACCCCATCTCTACAAAAAATATAAAAATTGGCTGGAAGCAGTGGCAGGCACCTGGAGTTCTACCTAATCAGTAGGCTGAGGTGGGGCCCAGGAGGTTGGGCTGCAGTGGGTTGTGACTGTGTCACTACACTCCAGCATGGATGACAGAGTGGGAGGCTGTCTTGAAAAATCAAAATAAATAAATAATTAAAAAAATAAAACAGAGGATGAGATAATGAAAATGTGTTATACACCACAGAACCCTATGCAGCCATAAAAGAAAGGCACTTCCTTCGCAGCAACATGGATGGAGCTGCAGGCCATCACCGTAAGTGAACTAAGGTCCTAACAGAAAACCAAATGCCACATGTTCTCACTTATAAGTGGGAGCTGAACTATGAAAACACCCGAACATAAAGAAGGGAACAACAGACACCAGGAATGACTACCAGACAAAAAAAAAAACAACAAAAACAAAAACAAAAGCATGCACTGAAGACCCATCCTGTGGGTCCTCTGCTCACTGCCTGGGTCAGGAGGTTGTTGAGACCTCAAGCCTCAGCTTCATGCAATTAACAGATGTAACTAAACTGCATGTGTAGCCTTTAATCTATAATAATAAGAGTGAAAAGCCTTAAAAGAAAAAGACAAGGTTAGAAGCAAAGAAAATAATGAAAAAACACAATCTATAATTATCTAAACAATCCATGACTGTCACAAATAGAATAAGGACCTAATGGACAGAATGGGGCAGCCAAATACTCAACCCAACATGATATGTAGTGAACACATTTTTCAAAACACCAAAAAGACACCACGGGAAAGGGAGAGTCTCGTTCAATCAATGATTTTGAGAAAACTGAATATCCACATGCAAAACACTGAAAGAGAACCCTTAAATTGTACGATAGACAAAATCAACACAAAATGAATGAAAGACCTAAACTCAATCTTGAAACTGCAAAGGTCCTACAAGAAAACATAGGTTGGATGTATATTTTAGGAAACCTGTATCTACACATACGGGCTGCAAAAGGTAAAACATAGTCATAACACTAAAGGGAAAATTAGGGGAACTATACCCATAGACAATGCAATGGCTTAGTTATGAGTGTGTGAGTGTGTGTGTGTGTGTGTGTGTGTGTGTTTTGTGTGGGTGGAAGTTTGGATTCAAAAATTACTGCTAACATATGCAAATATAAACAATGACACTAGAACTTGCACAGAGGGAAGGAAACAAACAAAAGGCATCCTAAAGACTGGGAGAGAATTATGGAAAATCCTATGTCTGAAAGAGGTTACCTAACACCTGCAATAAACTGACACTACTAAGTGAAAAACAACAACAAATACCCAACTAAAAGTATATAGTATGCACCTAAAGTTAAATATAAAAATAAAAATAAAAAAATAATAAAAAAAAGGCAGGCAACTCACAGGTAACCGTTTCTGAATATCACTAATCCTCACAAAATTGTGAATCAAAACCATACTCAGATACCATATAATTTTCACTTAGAATGAATATTACAAAAGACAAAAAATAGTTGAAGGCGATGGCTGGTGTAGACTTGCAGATAGGAAAACGCTTGTACGCTCTTTGCAGAATTCTTTCAAGGCATCCTGCAGTGATTATGGGATCATACTTTTGTATCCCAACAGGATACTTTTAAATCTTTTATTAAGTGTAACACGATGTGGCAACCCAATATCTCACAAGAAAACCAAGTCTACCTTGGAACTACTATACTAAGTTCAAAATAAACAATTTTTCAAGTTATCTAGAAATACTAAAAGTAAACACCACTTACCTAAAAACCTTTCCTGGCACTACATCTTCATTTGTATACTCTTTCACTGTCATCTTGTAAAATGACATACTACCTCATTTTGCTGATTAAAAACTGAACATTTACATTTTCATCATGCTTAAACAGTTCACAGAAATAGTTTTCATTTTGTTTTTGCACCCAGTGGCAAAATTTCATGACTCTAAAGCACTTAGACTCTCATCATCTCATTTTTGAAGAGAAATAACACAAAGCAGTATGATTTTTTAAATCAGCTAGCTCGGAGTTTGTAATTTATGTATTAGAACAACCATTTAATATGTTCTCTTTTACATTATCTGCTGCAATGCCTTCTTAAAAACATTGGATTTGCCCTTCTATAATGTGCTAGTACATGAACCCAGGTAAAGATAGAAGGTTGAGGCCTCATTTAACATGAGCCAATACTACTTTTCTGGGCCTTAAGAAGATCATTAAAACCATTGAAACTATAAATTAGTGCATTGACTGAATTTTTAAAGTAACAATGAGACACAAAAATTTACAATGTATTTATTTTTGTTGAAACAAATGTTTTACGATTGTTAATATTTTTGAGAGACAGGGTCATGCTTTGTTGACTAGGCTGCAGTGATAGGGTGCAGTGGCTAATTCACTGGCACCATCGTTTCACACTACAGCCTCGAACTCCTGGGCTCAAGTGATCTTCCTGCCTCAAACTCTGGAGTTTGACTCCAGAGTCCCATAACTGGGACTACAGTTGTGCACCACGGCACCTGGCTTTTTTGATTTCCCCCCAGTTGAAAAATAAACCTTAGACAAATTAGTAAGTCAAACCTTAGACAAATTTGTTAATAAGTCAAGCATAGTTGATCTATTTTGTTTTTCCTTACCAACTCTATAACTGATATACATTGTCATTATTGGATTCACTTTGAGATCCCCTGAAATAGACTCTTACTATGAGGGAAATCACATGATGACGTTACTGATCTGGGCGATCCTTGGTTGTCTTCTTGGAAGAAAGAATTTACCCAAAAGACCAATTTGTAAAGCAAGCAAAAGTTTTATTGGGGAAGTACAAGTACATTCTAAGAGAGAGAAGTGGGCTGACCCTGCTGGAAACACATCGAAGACATTGTGCATTATGATCTTCTATTGCCTCAGTTCTTTCTTTACCCAGTTCTCACCAAGCTTTGGGGGATCCTCTGTTACTGTGCTTAATGCACACGCATGGGAACCAGTGATCAATACGAATCCTATCTAATGGTGGCACTGCTTCTTACCACCACCCGGGGAAGGTAGAGCAGTCAATTTTGTACTCATTGTGCCTGCTCAGCTCTCAGGAATTCCCCTTTTGCCTTTTTCCTTATCAGGATCTAGTTAACAGCATTCTGACAGTTCAACCATGGAGTGAGTACTGGGCATCCTAAGAGGTGTTCTGTGGGGTTCTTTCCAACATGAATACCTCTCCCTCATGCCTGCTCATATCTGACTGTCTATTCTTACATTTCTCCCTCAAGGAGTTGGGACCCAGACATCTTTTGGGAGATGGGGCAGAGGTCATTCTCTGTCGCTACTTCATTATGAAAAGAGGCACTGAGGGTCTTCAGGGTCCTTCCTCCTCGCTTGCTGTCATGGTGAGGAGGTTTTGACGATTGTTGTCTCTTGGAAGGTTTGACCTGTGGTGTCCAGAGGAGACATGTAGGGATTTACTGTCCTAGGGGGGAAGAAAGAGGTTGCTATCACATCACAAGACCACTTGAAGTCTGATGATTTCTAGGTGGGAGGAAATAAACTGAGAAGATTCAGAAAGCAAGGCTTAAAAAGGAGAAGGAAGATAGAGGTCCAGGGTCCCAGGAAAGGGAAGAGCTATGAGAATGAAGACCAGGTGACACCCGGCACAGCCAACCCTAGTAAGCCCTTTCCCAAAGGTGAGAGGCCAGGTTTATAAGATCTCTAATGCTCTAATGTGCTCCTAGACTTGCTCTGATCTGGTAACAGAAAAATACTATAATTACATTAGAAATCTGAAAACCAAAGGAAAAGAGATACTATAACTACCCATTGACAAGTGGTTCTCCATTCTGATATTTGAAGACAATGAGCTTGAGGTAGGAATTCTTATATCTTCTGTTGGATTATGTATTCTGTTGAGACCTAAACTTGCTCTGAGCTCTATCTTACACCAAGCACCTTTTGCTCTGAGCTCCATCTGCTCTAACCTAAACCTTGATAAAGACTCCATCTTGATCAGAGCTCTGTCTGCTCTGAGCTCCATCTTGCTTATAGCTCCATCTGCTCGGAGCTCCATCTTACCTGGAGGTCTAATCACTCTGAGCTCCCTTGCTCTGAGCACCGTCTACTCAGAACACCGTCTGCTCGGAGCTCCGTCTACTCTGAGCTCCATTTGCTCCAAGCTCCATCTTGCTCAGGACTCCTATCACTCCAACCTCCATCCTGCTCTGAGTAGCACCTGCTCCCAGCTCCGTCTTTGTTGGAGCTCTAATCACTCTGAGCTCCATCTTGCCCTGAGCACCATCTTCTCCGAGATCCAACATCTTAGGAGCTCCAGTCACTTTGCGCTCCATCTTACTGTGAGCAACATTGTCTCCGAGTTCCATCTTGCCCGGAGCTCCATCTGCTCTGATCTCCAGCTTGCTGAGCTCCAATCAATCTGAGCTCCATCTTGCCCTGAGCACCAAGTGCTCTGACATCCATATTCTTTGAAGTTCCAATCACTCTGAGCTTCATTTTTCCCTGAGCATCATCTGCATGTAGCTCCATCTTGCTCTGAGGACCATCTGCTCAGAACTCCATCTTAATGTGAGCAACATCTCTGAGTTGTGTCTTGCTTCGAGCTCCATCTGCTCAGAGCTCCATTTTACTCTAACCAACATCTTTTCCAAGCTGCATCTGCTCTGAGCTTCAGAGCTCTAAACGCTCTGAGCTCCAACCTGCTCTAAGCATGATTTGTTCCAAGCTCCAATGGCTCAGAGCAATGTTTGGAGTGCCAATCACTCCAAATCTTGGTGTAAGCATCATCTTCTCTGAGCTTCGTATTACGCCGAGCAACATCTACTGCAAACTCCATCTTGCTCAGAGCTCATCTGCTCCGAGCTCCATCTTGCTCAGAGTTCATCTGCTCTGAGAGCCACCTTGCTCAGAGCTCCAATCACACTGAGCTTTATCTTGCTCTGAGCACCATCTGCTCTGAGCTCCATTTTGCACTGAGACCATATGCTTAGAGCTCCATCTTACTCTGAGCAACATCTGCTCTGAAAAGAGTTCCATCTTGTCTGCAGCTCCATCTGCTCTGAGCTCCATCATGCTTGGAGCTCCGTCTTGCTCAGAGGTTCATCTTGCTCTGAGCACTGTTTGCTCCATGTATGTTTTTTGCAGCAGCACTACTCACAATGGGAAATACGTGGAACCAAACTATATGCCCATCAATGAAAGACTGGGAAAAGAAAATGTACTACATATACACCATGGAATACTATGCAGCCACAAAAAGGTACGAGATCATGTCCTCTGCAGGGACATGGATGAAGCTGGAAGCCATCATCCTCAGCAAACTAACACAGGAAGAAAAAAACAAACACTGCGTGTTCTCACTCATAAGTGGAAGCTGAACAATGAGAACACATTTCAATACTATTCTGAAGATGGTCTCTGTTTCTCTTAACAAAGGATATTTATACTGTGAAATTTTTTTCTCTCTAAAGGATTGTGGCTTTTCCTGTCTGTGCCAGTTTAGGTTATAGGTTGACTACCCCAACTTGAAATGACCCCCTCCATGTCCACACATGGTTGGTCCCTCCTGTGAACTGTTTTTTCACAGACTCTTACCACCTGTGGGTCATTTGAGGGAAGGTGACCTCACATAGTACTGCACCAGGTAAATCACCAAATGAAAGAATTACTGAAACAACGTGTGTGTCTCGTTATTTCAAGGAATAAATATGAGTCAGCTGAAGGTGATATGTACATCCAGTTTGGAAGGATATGTAAGAGTGATATAAGGATCTCATACATCCTTCTAAAATTTTGGGGGAAATGTTTAACTGCTTTATAACTCTTACACAAGTGACATTTGTTTAATTATTTTTTTTTTTTTTTGAGATGGAGTCTCACTCTGTCCCCTAGGCTGGAGTGTAATGAGCTTCCGCCTCCTGGGTTGAAGCTATTTCTCCTGCCTCAGCTCCCTAGTAGCTGGGACTATAGGTGCATGCCATCACACCTGTCTTTCTATTTTTAGTAGAGATGCAGTTTCACCATGTTGACCAGGCTGGTCCTGAACTCCTGACCTCAGTTGATCTCCCCGCCTCAGCCTCCCAAAGTGCTGGGATTATAGGCGTGAGCCACTGCGCTCAGCCTTCTGAACTCTTTTATACTGTAACTTACTTGTGTATTACAGCCCTCATTTAATAAACGTATTTGTTATTTCTATTATTTCGTTAACATTTACCCTATTGAGATAGAGATTCTAAACTGATGAACCACCCGACTGGTACTGTGTTCATAATATTCCTAATCACAGTAAAAGTAGATATTCTTTTAGAAAATCAAGGTTGAAAGCTGACAAAAAGGAAGAAAGAAACACGTACATACACAAGAAAAAAAACAAAACTTACACTGACCTTCTCCATTCATTAGTGGCATAAACACAGAAAGATAACCAAATGGAGCAAATGAGGGAGCCAGACAATCAGACCAAAATTATATAAATGCATTTTTCAGAAACACACCAAAGGCGAGAAACCAGGGTATTCACGTACAGAGGACTGAAGACCCTTATGTTGCACAAGACACAAACATCAACACAAAATAAACTGAACACCTAAGTCTAATCCTAAAACCAAAAAAGCTCCCAGGAAAAAACACAGGGGGAGCGTCTATTTTGGGGAAACTTGAATCTGTGCACACCAGTTGCAAAAAGAAAAAATTAGGGAGAATATATCCATAAATAATACAATGCCTTCACCATCTCTCTCACTTTATTTCCCAATGGGACACAGAAAACACTGCTAACAGAAGCAAATATAGACAAAGGACAACTTTAAAATTTCTAAACAGGGAGAAAACAATGAACCCAAAGAACAGGTATCCTACAGACTGGGATAAAATTATGGAAAATCATGTATCTGAAAGGAACTGTCATCTAACATACACAAGAAACTAAAGATACTAGATGGGCAAAAAGATAAAACAACTAAAACCTATATTTATCCAAACAATCTGCTACTGGCATAAAAACAGAAAGGCTACCCACTGGACAGAATGAGGGAGTCCCACAGACCACCCAAACGTACATACAGTGAACACATTTTTCAAAAGAACATAAGGACACAATGGGAAAAGGAAAGTCTGCTCAATAAATGATTTTGAGCAAACTGGATAACCACATGAAAAATAGTGAAATAGGACAAATCAATGCAAATTACACTGAAGACCTAAACTTAATCTTGAAACCACTTACGTCCCTTAGGAAACACAGAGTGAGCGTATATTTTAAAAAACTAATCTATGTACACAAGTTGCAGAATGTAAAATATAAAAGGAAAAATTAGAAGAAAAAAACCATAGACAATGGTTTGGCAATCTTTTTCACTGTTTTTAACTGCACACGAGTCACCACTAATATATAAACATGTGCGACGATGAAAAACATTGCAGGGAAAAGAAAACAATGCACCAGAAGAGAAGGCGCCTCACAGACTGAAAGGCGTTGTTACAAAATATGTGCAAGAAACTGACACTTCCATGTGGGGGAAAAACAGAAACAAAAACAAATACCCAAGCTAAGTCTGGGCAAAGGATCTGAACAGATATGTCTGAAAACAGACGTGAAATTGACTCACAGGTAAACGAAAGCTTCTCCAAAGCTCTAATCCTCACGAGAACGTCAGGGAAAACCACACTGAGATACCACCTCCATCCACATAGAATGAATGTTACCTAAAACAAAAAAATAAAAGTTTGAAAAGGAAACAACTGGTATAGGCTTGCAGAAGGGGAAACTCTTCCCATACATTATTGGTGAGAATGTCAATTTGACACACACTAGGGAAAACGGCTGGAAGTTCCTCCAAGTAAAATCCCCATTTCATCTAGCCATCCCACCAATGGCTGTACGTTTACAGCCAATAAAATTCCTATGTGGAAGAGATACCTGCCTTGCCCTCCGTACTGCAGTACTCACAATAGTCAAGATAGGAAATGCACCTACCTGTTGATCCACCGATGAAGGGATGAGGAAACTGCAATATACATCCAGAGCAGAATATTCTTCAACCATAGAAATGGGTGAAATCTCGTCATTTGCAGCCATGTGGAAAAACCTGAGGAACATTATCTTAAATGAAATGAGCCAGGCAGAGAAAGGCATATACTGCATGACCTCATGCTTGTGGAATCTAAACCACTTGACCTGTCAGAAGTACAAAGTTCAACGGTGGTTACTAGAGGCTGTGGGAAAGGGGGCCCTAGGCAGGGATTGGTAATGGGTACAAAGTTACACTTAGAAAAGTGAGATCCATCCTGCCCTTCTCTTCTATAGCAGGGTGACTAAGGTTAATATTGTAGCAAATTTTTCAAATAGCTGGAAAGGATTCTAAATATCCTGTCCACAGACAAGTAATACCTAGAGGACTTCATAGATGTTAAATATTGTGATTTGATCAATGTGCTAGGTATACCTACATCAAAATGGCCTCTGCATTCTGTAGTTATATACATATACTTTAGGGCAATCTTTAAGAAAGAATGCCAATGATGCTAAAATTCACATGGAACCATGAAACACCCTGAATTTCTAAGGCTGTCCTGGGAATACAAAGTACACAGGATGCATCACTGTCCTCCATTTGAAATTATATTGAAAAGCCAGTTATCTAAACAATAGATGACGGGCACTAACCAAGAAACCCAGACCAACAGACACAATGAGGGAGCTCAATCACAAACCCAAATTCCTAGTTAGTGTACACATTTTGTAAAAGAATACCAAAAGACACAACGAAGGGGGAATCTGTTCAATAAATTGTTTTGAAAATTGAATAACCCTACGTAAAATAATAAAATAGGGTCCCAATTGTGTAAAAGGCACAACAATCTACTCAAAATGAATCAGAGACTCATACACAAAACTTGAAAGCATAGAGCTCCTCCAATGTGAAGACACACAGTATTGGGTATATTTAGGTCAAGGTGGATCTGTGCTCACAGTGTGCCAAAACAAAACAGAAAATACAAGGGGGGAAAACTCATAGGTGACGGATTAGTTTGGTCATGATTTTGTTTTTCTTCATCAGTTACCTACACCACAGGGAACCAAGAAAACAGACATACTCTAGAGTTTGTGCCCAAGCAGATTAAAAGAAATCCATGAAAACTTTAAAAAATCATCCTGAAGTTTACAAAAAAGGTTTTGGAAACACACATCTGACAAAAGGTTGTCTTCAAAATGTCTAAGCAACAAACACTACTTACTAGCAAAAACACAAAAGAGCAACTAATAACCAAACAAAATGGGGCAAAAGAACCTGAACAGACATTTCTTCAAAGGAGACATAACATTGAAAACAAATTTTAAAAACTGGGATAACATCACAAATCATGAGAAAGATGTAAATCAAAACACCACACACATCATCTCACTGTAATTCAAATGGATGTTATCAAAATGACAAAATATATTAAAAGAGACAAAAACACTAGTGTAAATTTCCAGAGAGGAACTCATTTGGTCAGAATGTTAGTATACATACTACAGAAACCAGTGGGAGGTTCCTCCAAAAATTAAACCTACAACTACCACTTCATCTAACAATTTTACTACCTAGTATACTTTCAGTGCAAAAGAAATCAGTTCATGCAAGAGATATCTGCCATCCTGTGTGGAATGCAGCACTATTCACCATTGCCAAGATAAAGAATAAACTTACCTGCCCATCCACAGATGAAGAGATAAAGTAACTGTGGTGGATGTACACAAATAGAATAGTGCTCAGCCAAAAAAACAGAATGAAATTGCATCATTTGGAGCCATACTGTTGAGACTGAAGGACATCATGGTAAATGACCTAAGCTGGGCAGAGAAAAAAAAAAAAAAAAAAAAAACATTGCCACATCTCACTCATGTAGAATCCAAAATAAAAGGCTTTATTGCATAGGTCTAGAAAGCACAATAGTAGTTATCAGAGGTTCAAGAGAAGAGGAGGCATGGGCAGGGATCAGAAATAGGTACAAAGTTACACTTAGGTGAGAGGAATGAATTGTTCCTCTGTTCCACAGCACAGTGACTAGGTTAAGACGTCACAACTTTTTCACAAAATCTGGAAACAAAGATTCCTAATGTTTTCACCACAAAGAAATTAACAACTGCTTGTGATAACAGAGGCTCTAAATATCCTGATTTTATCATTCCTCTGTGTCTGCATTAACCAAAATGCCCCACTCTAACTCTCCCCAGTGTATACCTTTACTATATGGCCAATCTTTGAAAAAATATGTAAATATGCAATGCTAAAATTCATATGGACCACAAAACACCCTGAATTTCCAAAGCAATCCTGAGAAATCCAAACTACATTGGTTGTGCCATATTTCTCGATTTTAGATTTCAGAGAAAAGCTAGGGACCCCATTCCACACAGAAGGATGGAAGAGATTAGAGGATCCAGACATAAACCCACACCCCTAACACCATCTGATCTTCAACAAAATCCACAAAAATAAGCTTTGGAGGAAGGACGCCTCCTCTCAATCGATTGTGCTGGAATGGCTAGCCAGCTGCAGAAGAAAAGCAGTGGGCCCCGTGTCTCATGGTGTACAGAAACAAACTCAAGATGAATGAAAGATGTAAATGTAAGACCTCAAGGTGTGAAAAGCCTGCAAGCGAACCTAGGAAACACCCTTCCTGACAGAGGGTTTGGCACAGCGTGGATATGCTTAAGTCTCCAAAAGCAGGTGCAACTAAAACAATTATTGACAAGTGGGACCTAATACACAGAAGAGCTGCTGCACAGCAGAAGAAATGACCAACAGAGTAAACAGACAGCCTACACAATGGGAGAAAATGTTCCCACGTACGCATCTGATGAAGGCTAATACCCAGGATCTACCTTGAAGACATTAAGCAAATAAATCAGCAAAACAAAAACTCAATGAAAGGGCAAGGGGCATGAAAACATACATCTCCAGAGAAGGTTTACGGCAACCAACAAACATGACAAAATTTCTCTACCTCAGCAATCATCAGAGAAAAGCAAAACAAAGGGCCTATGAGATAGTATTTCACACTGATCAGAATGATGATTATGGCACAGTCCACAAGAATGAATGCCACTGAGGCGGAGGAGGAGAGGGATGCTGCTCTGCTGCTGGTGGGAATGCAAACCAGTTCAGACACCATGGAAAGCAATGTGGGGATTTCTCAAATAACTTTCTCCACATCACTAATCCTCACAAAAATGTCCATAAAAACCACATTATGATTCCATCTCATGCCACTCAGAATGAGTACTACCAAAACAAGCACACATTTTTGAAGGGGACAGCCAGTATAGACTTACAGAAGAGTAACCTCTTAAATGCCATTGGTGGGGATGTAAATTAGTATACACACTATGAAAAACAGCTAGAGGTTCTTGAAAAACTTCACAGCACACCTACCACGTCAGCTGGCAGCCCCATCACTGGCTCCACATTTAAAGCAGTTGAAATCCCTAGGTTGAAGAGAGCTATCTGCCTTCCCAGGGGTACGGAAGCACTTGTAACTGCGACCAAGGTACAGAAGCAATCTACCTGTCCACACACAGCTGCAGGGATGAGAAACTGCTGTACAAATACACCATGAAATATGTCTCAGCCATAAAGCTCTGGGAAATCCTGCCATCTGCAGCCACATGAAGAAACATGGAGAACATCAGGTCTAACAAATGAGCCTCGTAGAGAAAGTCCCATGCCACATGATCTCAGGCACATAAACTGAAAAAAACTTTACCTCCTAGGAGTAGAAAGTTCAATAGGGGTTACCAGAGGCTGTCGGGGAGGTAGCGGGAGTCTGGGAAGGAATCAGTAATGGGTAAAAGTTACTCTCAGATGACAGTAATCAATTTGGTGTTCTATTCTACACCAGTGTGATTAGCCTTAACATAAATGTATCATATATTTCAAAGTAGCTAGAAGGAAAGACTCTGAACTTTGTTACCACAAAAAAAAATATTAATAACTATATGAGCTGAAGAGATGCTAAATAAACCAATTTGATCATTACTTAACATTAAATGTATAAAATCTCCCTTGTACCCTCTAATTATATACATTTGGCATATGGTAAATATTATTTTAAGAAATATAAAGAAACAATGCCAAAATTTATGTGGTAATGTGAAGCATCCTGAATTTCCAAAGCTATCCTGAGAAATACAAACCATGTGGGATGCATCACATTCCCTGAGTTCTAATTAAATGAAAATCCCTAATTAACCAACCCATATGTTACTGGAATACACAGAGAAACACAGACCTGTGAGCAAAATGAGGGCACTCAATAATAAACACAAATTTATATAGAGGGAACACATTTTTCAAAACACCACCAAAATGACACAATGGGGAAGGTTTTCAAAACTAGATACACATATGTAACCTAGAACTCTTACGGTATTAAATACACAATAATCAACTCAAAAGGATTAAAGATTACACACAAAACATGCAACCACAAAGCTCCTATAATGACAACCTCTGGTGTGCGTCTATTTAGGGCAACTTGGATGTATGTTCACTGTATTCAAAAAGTAACAAAATACAAAGGAAAAAAAATCATGGACAATGGACGGCTTTGGTAGTGATTTTGTTTTTCCTTGATTAGTAACCAACAGCACAGCTAACCAAGAAATTACACACATGTGGGGGCCACATCAAACTGAAGAGTTTGTGCCCAACAAAGGAAACAATGAACAAAATGAAAAAGCATACTAAAAATTGTAAGAAAAGTCTGGGCAAACATACAGTGGATAAGGGGTTATTTTTGAAAAGGTACAAGCCAGTAACACTACCAGCTGGCAAAAAAACAAAACAACAGAAAAATAACCAGACCAAAATTGGGCAAATAACCTGAATAGATACTTGGGCAAAGACAGGAAACTGACCCAACATTTACAAAAACATGGTTAACATTACTACTCATGAGAAAAATGTAAATCAAAACCACACTCAGATCTTATCTCACTTCAATTAGAATGAACATTACAAAAAGATTAAAAATATTTAAAACGACAATTCCTGGTATGAATTTCCAGAAAGGGGAACTGTTCGTGGAAATGCAAATTAGTATTAACACTATAAAAAACAGTTGGGGGTCCTGCAAAGAATAGAGAAAAAAGACATACCATACCATCTAGCAGTCCCACTACAGGGTACACATTCAACCTCCCTGTTCATCCACAGATAAAGGGATCAAGAAACTCTCATATACATACACTAGGGAATATTTTTCAGCCACCAAAATAATGAAACAGTGACATTTAGAACGACCCAAATGAACCTGGAAAACATGATGTTAAATGTAATGAGCTAGGAAAGGCCCAGAAAGAAACACTGCATGATACCACTCATGTGAAATCTTAAGGGGTTTACCTTAAAGGAGTAGAAAGCACAATATTGGTTACCAGAGTCTGGGAGTTAGAGGGGGAACATGCATTGGTTACAGAAACAAAGTTATCTTAACATTAATGGAATAAATCTTAGTGTTCTTCTCAGCCAGGAGACTAGAGTTAACAATATTTTATTTTTTGGAAGAGCAAGAAGTGAGAATTTTGAATGTTCTCCCCACACAAAAATAATACCTGTATGAGAGAACAGAGATCCTAAGTACTCTGATTTGATCATTACTCAATCTATATGTATGAAAATGTACCCCTAATTTGGACCCTTATGTTGTGTAACAAAGTTAACATAAATACATATTGCTAAAAATCACAGGGAACCTGTGATTTAATTCAAAAAGCAATGAATATCTAAAGGAATCCTGAGAAATAAATTCAAAGTGAGGACCCAAAATCCTCGATATCAAATTACACTGCCAAGTTGTAGTCATGCCGCAGATATATGGCACTTGCATAAAAACAAATACCTAGAACTATGGACAAAAACAGGGAGGACAAAAACAAGATCAATGCAAACGCGGACATACTCAACTCACTTTGATAAAGAACACCACATTCTGCTCAATGAACACATTTGAGAAAAATACCTGGATGCAGAAGAGAAATAGAACCCTTATTTTACACGATGTACGAAAATCACCCGGCCCCCAAATTAAAGGCCAAGACAAAAGACTATAAACCAGAAAATGTTTTTAACTAAAACACAGGTGGAGCATGCATTTTGGGTCACTTGCATCTCTGCTCACTAAAACACAGGTGGAGCATGCATTTTGGGTCACTTGCATCTCTGCTCACCTTTGCAAAGAGGAAAAGAAACACCCTAGAAGAAAAACCTCAGTAACATTAAATGCTTTGTCACTGATACATATTTTCTTACATGGGTGACCAAAATTACATGCATGAAATGCAAAAATAAACATGTGGGACTACATCTACCTGAAAAGTTTCTGCACAGCAAAGAAAACTACTTTCCAAAAAAAAAGCATCCTCTACATTAAGCAAAAATTTCAGACAATCATGTAATTCACAAGGAGTTGTCATCTAACACACACACACACAAAAAAAAACACTAAAAAGTAGCAAAATAATGCAATCTTCTCTTTCTGATAGAGCTTGCACTTAGAATTCTGCAGACATAAAATCAAACGGATAAGAGATAAGGTCCTCAAAATTAACTATTCATTAGAAAACTGTAATCCAGTGCTGCAATGAACATACGTGTGCATGTGTCTTTATAACAGAACGATTTATAATCCTTTGGGTATATACCTAGTAATGGGATTGCTCGGTCAAATGATATTTCTGTTTCTAGATCCTTGAGGAATCGCCACAGTCTTCCATAATGGCTGCACTAGTTTACATTCCCACCAACAGTGTGAAAGCGTTCCTATTTCTCCACATCCTCTCCACCATCTGCTGTCTCCTGATTCTTTAATGATGGACGATCTAACTGGCATGAGATGGTATCTCAATGTGGTTTTGATTTGCATTTCTCTAATGACCAGTGATGATGAGCATTTTTTCATATGTTTGTTGGCCACATAAATGTCTTCTTTTGAAAAGTGCCTGTTAATATCCTTCACCCACTCTTTGATGGGATTTTTTTCTTGCACATTTGTTTTAGTTCTTTGTAGCGGCACTGTTTACAATAGAAAAGACCTGGAACCAACCCAAATGCCCATCAAGGATAGACTGGACAAAGAAAATGTGCCACATATACACCACGGAATACTATGCAGCCATAAAAAAGGATGAGTTCATGTCCTTTGAGGGACATGGATGAATCTGGAAACCATCATTCTCAGCAAACTGACACAAGAACAGAAAACCAAATACCGCATGTTCTCAGTCATAAGTGGGTGTTGAACAATGAGAACACATGGACACAGGGAGGGGAACATCATACACTGGGGTCTGTTGGGGGTTGGGGGGCTAGGGGAGCGATAGCAGGGGGTGGGGAAGTTGGGGAGGGATAACATTAAGAGAAATACCTAATGTAGGTGATCGGGGGATGGAGGCAGCAAGCCACCATAGCATGTGTATACCTATGTAACAATCCTGCAAGATCTGCACATGTACCCCAGAACTTAAAGTACAATAAAAAAAAAATTTGATCATAAAAAAAAAGCAGTTAACTCAAAACCACATATTCCCAGAAAGTTTCTACAAAATAGGGGGAGCAGGACATGGTGGCCCACACTGTAATCCCAGAACCTTGGGAGGCCAGGCAGGCGGATTATCTGAGGTCACGAGTTTGAGGCCAGCCTGACAATCAATATGGTGAAACCCCCTCTCTACTAAAATTACAAAAATTAGCCTGGCATGGTGGCCGACGCCTGTAGTCCCAGTTTCTCAGGAGGCTGAGACAGGAGAATTGCTTGAACCCGGGAGGCAAAGGTTGTGGTGAGCTGAAGTGGCACCACTGCATCCAGCCTAGGCAACAGAGCAAGACTCAGTCTCAAAAAATATAAAAATTAAAAAAATAGGGATGTGGGTGTGGCTTTGAGAAAGGGGAACTCCATACGCTGCAGGTGGAAATGAAAATTAGGATACCCACCATGAAAAACAGCTAAATAACTGGAGACTCCTCAAAGACTTGAAACCACAGATGTCTCCTGCTCTAGCGAGGTCTCTTTCCAAAGGTCCTGAAGCATCAAAAACAACCCTAGACCCGCAGCTCAGAGGCCCGCGCGGCTTGGAGGGACCCAGGTCCCGAGCTTCACAGCCAGCTCTGGGCCAAGGCGCTCCTATACGCTGGATGCGGGTTGGACACGCGCCGGGAGGGGATGCGGACGGTGCCGCGGCCAGGACCCCACAAACGCCCCCACGCGGACGACTAGGGCCCAGACGCCCACAAAGAAGTCAGGGCCCGAAAGCAGGGAGCGGCCGGGAGGAGCAGGGAGGCCCAAAGTGTTCCCAGTAGGGTTCATGCCCCGCCACTTACCGCGGAGACCTGCCTCCTCCTGCACCACCTCACGGAAGCCACCACGGCTTCTATGAAGCTCGCTCCGACCACGCCGCCGCTTCTCCCCGCTCCGACCACGCCGCGGCTTCTCCCCCCTCCGACCACGCCGCGGCTT